CACCGCGCCGGTAACTTGAATTTCGAAGGAGTAAGACCAGGAGCTCTTTTGAATCTCATCCGAGCTAATTGCACTGCAAGGGCAACCAGTTACCTTGCGCTCTCGCATTGTTCCCTGTTCGAGTCCTCGCCTCCCCCCATCCCCCCCTCGGTGCCCTCGTACCCGCTTCTCTCTCTTTCTCTTTCCCTCTCTTTCTCATCTTCGCTTTCGTATTTTTTTTTCTCTCCACTGTGGCGCGCGCTGGCTCGGTGCAAATTCAAATCTTTACACTGGGCTATGCTGATCTGGTTATTTATTCATTGCTAGAGTTTGCACCTGCCACTTGCTCCCCCCTTCCCTCTCCCGGAAGTGGGGTATGGGGGATCGGGGGTCACGAAGTGTGTCTCGACTATAATCTCGTCTTAAATCCTCCTTATCTGTTCTCTCGCCCTTCTTGGTTTATCTTCTGTTGTCAGATTTTTTATCCCTTCAGCGGGCTGATTATTGAAATTTATTTATTTCATTTATTTTTATTTTCAACGAGCGAACCAAATTACAATTGATAGACAAAGCTTTAGGCAAAGAAGGCAAAAAATGTATGGATGGATCCTGTTGGTGGAAGCCGGTGGTTGCAATGGGCAAAGGAGGTAGGTAATAGACTACCAATGGCAAATTCCGAGAGATCCGATAGTTAGTCCATCATTTTCTCCATTAGTCTTTAGGAACCACCCATTTCAACTAATAAGACAACTCCAAACTCACTATGACTTCTTTGTCTATCGCTTTGTCTATCAATTTCAACAATCAGCCCACTGTCAATCTAGGAAAAAATCGAACAGGAACGGAAATTTTGAAGCACCGCGATGTAGGTACGTATGGTCTCGCGCTTTGGCCATGCACACAGGGTGTCCCAGGACTAAGTACGAATATTGATGGAGTCGATTCTTTGGGTCAAAAGAAGACTTTTTTGTGGCATAACTTTTTTTCGAAAAATGCTTTCCGTGGGGGCCCCACCGTCCCCTTATTATCAGCTCCTATTATTCCCTATTGGTCCCTATTATCTTGAAAACGATGTGTTATAGCGAAAAAACGCAGGAGACATTTTCTCAATATTTTTCAACGCTGAATCTTGTGGTGCCGTCAAAAATCAATTTTTGTCGCTAGAAACATTAATTTTGGCCATTTTTAGATTCGGTACCCCCCCCCCTCCCCTAAATCCCTCTCCACATGAGTTTACCTTTTATGGAGGTCAAAAATGATAAGAACGCTAAAAATTACTTTCAGTTACCAATTTTCATTAAAATTGCTTGATAAACATTGTCGCAGTGTTAAAAAGATGATTTTTTCCCTCCAATTTTGGGGAGTCGTGGCGC